TGAAGGTGCCAGATATATGAAAAGGTTCTATAAGATGGATTAATCAAAACTAGGCACTGTTGTTAGCAATGTTTGTTTCTTAGCAACAGTGAGACATTACATCGTATTACTTACCAAGGACACAAAGAAGTTGAATAATGCTGTACCACCGCCTAGTAGCAGTGATAACGTAGTAGTTACGACTGTCAGCGCAAAGTTCAGATTGCCTTTTAATACTATCCACACAGATTCTAACACCTAGAAAATGTAAGAAAATACACTCGTCTTCAGAGAATAACCATTAAAAACTCTTGGTGGAGGAAGATTATAAAAAAAACCTCCTTTCAATTTTTTTCTTAATAACTTATTTTTCTCTATCACATAAAAATATTGTTTTATAGGAAAATACAAAAGATATCTGCATACAAAATTCAATTTCAATCGAATATACAGGAATATAGTTAATCCTATATAATATGCAAATGATCTAATTAATATGCATTTATTCTGTAGATCACCACAAATATATGTTTCATGAAACAAATTTCATTGACATGTGCTTGGTGGATCAGTAATTCAATCTGCTTATCTAATAATCTTTTCACAAATATAAATTCTAAATCACTAGAGGGCGCTGTGTGTTTCTCTTTCATGGTGACTGCTGATAAAACTGATACTTACCGATAGTAAAGTCCCAATGTTATTCTGAATAACAGAAATAAAATTTGTGACTTGTAATTCAATTCCTTCAATTTTACTAAAACTTTCCCATAAATTACTCCATGATGGACTGAATGCAGAAGCCCTCTTAGTCGGCAATGCTGTCACATTCTGTGGATAGACAATGATACACATCATTCAGACAAACCAACATATAAGAATTAACAAACAAAGCAGTCCATGTGTGAGTGAAGGGTTGTTATTATATAATTAGTCCCCACCATGGACTGACGTCATACTTTTCAACTGTGCAAGTTTATGATGCTTTAACACAATGAGAAGAACGCAATCTGTGTGGTGGTGAAAGTCGTCAGTGAAACACATGTCACTAATTTACTTCTTACGCTTATTTACAATTTCTTTGTAAATTCAAATTTTAGTAAATGAACACAGATTTGTTTACACGCTTAGGAATGCTGCGATGTGAAATTGGACATGACATTGTTGATAGTATCATCACTAATACTTTGTTTGACAAGACCAGAAAACCCTGCAGTTAGGAACAAAGTAGATAACAAGTGTTTTTATAATATGCTGCTGATGCTACTCACAAAATCTGCTTTATATCACACCTCGATAAATCACATCAATACTGTAAAAACATTAATTATTCCTTGAGTTTTATTTTCGTTATTTTCAATAAGTTAAAATCACTAAATAAAATCCACATGAACATGTCAAATTACAATAAAACTTTTTTTTTATTGTAAAATTCATGAATTTTTAATATCTAGTGAATAAGACGAAATAGTTAAATTAAATACTAATGAAATACATTTATAATTTATATGACATCACACTACTTCGTAATTCAAATTCTGTATATAATACAAACCTTAGCAATCCATTCTTCATACAGTCTATCCCAAACTGCTAGAATTTCCTTCTCTATTTCAGATGTGTTAATATTCTGTCCACTCAAAGCAAGGTTCACCTAGGTTAATAATAACATTCAAGGATTAAATCAATTCAATTTATAAATCAATACAATAGTACCGTAAAATCTGTATCAGAAGCCGCATTCCTAATAAAAGTTGCACCCATTCTTTTTTGAAAAATTGAGAACCAAATATTCACATTTCTCATACATGTAGATGTTCTAATAGAAGCCGTATCCCCTCTGTTGCATTGTACCATTTTAATGGAAGCCGCAGTTTCTAAAACAAATTTTACAGTACATTTTCTTCTCATTCCATAACCAATGCAATTTAGACAGGCCTTAAAACAGTAGACTGGCTTTTATTTCTGTAATTTATTTGCTGTTAACAGAACCTATATTATACATTTGTCACTGTAATGCCATAAGTTACAGCGTGCCGTAATTTTGTGGTATTTTCATCCTACCATATAAGGAAATTCCAAATATGGAATGATTACACGTGTAAGCGTCCTATAATAATAAAAACAGACATGGCTGCCATCAGGGTTGACCGGATCCACACAAAGAAGTTCGCTGATTCTGTTCTAAACATTTTGAATTTCGGCATTCCCATTTCCTCAAAGTATGCACTCAGACAGTACGCCGTGCATTGACCTCGGTTGCGCATCGGTCAATACTTCAGCTGTACTGTCTTTGTGCATACTTTGAGGTATTCTCGTAATAACCTTATATTTTTACCTTTGATGTGATCCATTCTCTGCCATACAGGTATGCATTGTTTAGCATAGTGTCCACCATTTTCTGCATATCAAAGTTATCTGGTAGCAATCTGAAATGTAAGATAACTACATAAATGCATTATACTTAGTAGTAACATCCCATTAACCGTAAAATCTGTATTAGAAGCTGCACCCATTCTTTTGAACAATTGAGAACTGTCACACGCAACGTAATATTACCGTAATTGGTATAGACAGGTGTGATGGTTCAAATACCAAAATGGCAACAGTAACAGAAAGACTTCCCTGGCGGCGATGATAAAGTACGAACACGGAGCCAACAGATGAGGTTTCAACTGGTACTGGTATTATTAATACTCTGCAAACATCAAGTACAATAACGAGGTAAAACTCCACTACTCCAATAACTAGATACTTAAACTCCAATACAACAAGATCCCCGATCTGATCTCAGTGCTGAACAACTCCCCTATATATACCCGCACTGTCTATAAATAGACCATTACATCAGCATACATAAAGAGTCTTGAACTTACTACAAATTTCTAGAATGTTCCATTACCTTCTATTGCCTCCTACAGTGTTCTATTACCTATTCAACCAGTTTCAAAAAAAATATAGAATATTCCACCCAGACACAGTACGGTTCTAGAATATTCTCAGTGACACGGAAGTGGTAAATAAGTCGTATGTGACAAGAACGAAAAAATCACAATTTCTCATATGTGTAGGAGCTTTAATAGAAGCCACATCTCCTTTTTGCATTGTACCATTTTAATAGAAACCACAGCTTTAATACAGATTTTACAGTACCTTACATTAATTGTACTTTGTTTATACAAAGAACTGACATCCATTATAAGTTAATGCTTATACAATTACAATTAATTACATGATCAATTATCTGGTCAGTCTCAAAGCTTGGATAATTGGGGTTTACTGTTTATTGTTTGTTAAACTGTACTGTATGGAATGATATTCTTACTAACTTAAAGTACACCTGAATGATATGCCCATTATTTCATATTATATTTTGGTGACATTACACCATATTTTAATGACATTTTATTTTACTGATCAAAACTTGATGACATCACATCATATTCTAGTGGCATCACATCATATTTTGGTGACATTGCATCATACTTTAGTGACATCACATCATATTTTGGTGACATCACATCATATTTTGGTGACATCACATGTTTTGGTGACATTGCATCATACTTTAGTGACATCACACACATTATTCAACCTACTTATTGATATCAGGTTGGTTTGCTATAGTAGCATTTATCAAATTACTCGTCACCATCACCAACTGCATACTTTCTGCCTGCACCTGTATAATGATGAAATAAAAAATACATATTATAACATTTTATTTCTTTATTCAACAGATAAACAGTGGTTTCATTATGCTAAGGAAGGCTACCAGACTAAATAGTTGCATAAAAACGTCTATGCAGCATGCAGTGCTGTTTAGATCTCCTATTTTTTAATTCAGGTGAAAGGAACTCAAAAAGTTAGTCACATAGATCATAATCTTATATTGAAATTTAAGCCAACTGATACATGTATCATGTTAAATACAAAGATGCAGTGACCCTGTAAATATCGTGCAAGTTGATACTGTGCAGAATTATAGAAAATGTATTAGTAGAGTGAAGCCTATAAATAACAAACCTGCATTGCAAGAAGAAAGCTCACGAGTACTGTGGTTACCAATAGCAACATGATGATGAAGATGCTGATACATTTGTCCAATGAATCTTCAACAAATGAAATGAACTAAAGAAAACAGAAAAATTGAACTAAGAATTATAATATAATATCATTAAAATTCTGAATAAATTCAATGAGGTTATACAAGAATGCAGCAAGATATGCATAAATTATTTTTATTGTCAAATAGACATATTTTGCAGAGGTTACTGGGATTCTGTACTTTTTATATTCTCATGATAATTTTATTATTATACATCTGTCTGTTGGTTTACACACCAAAATAAACGTTTTACAAGATTTATGACAAGCTTTTGTGCAATTATATACAATAACATGCATGATTCTATTTCTGTCATGTACTGCATTGTGGTAACAGCTGGTGTAAATAAAAAGGTGTCCAAACATTGCGTAAATGTATAGTGTATTTGCTCTATTAGAAGTGAATTGCCAATAGAAGCGCATATAAACCAAAAATTATATATATTGTGCACAGTAATAATAAATCATGAATTATTTTGAGCACAGACAAACCTCCAATATGTATGTTACCATGCATGCACTTCTAATACTAGTAATAGAGCAAATATGGTAACACATTTTTATAATTAGAAAAACAGATTTGGATATCTGACAGGGTTTTACATATGAATGGATTGTTGCTGCCAGAAATACAAATATATCCAAATTTAACAAAAAACAAAGGTATATTCTACACCATGTGTATATTGCGTTTCATTAAAACACATGGCAGGTCAAACAGCACTCTCTCCAGTCATTAATATTTAAATTAGCTTGTGGCAAAGATTAGTGGGACGTTCCCTGGCGACTACCTAGCTTAGTGATAAAAGACCCATAGTCTCTGGATGGAGAATGGTCAAACAGTATACAGACAAATATGGTATTTTCCTCAGTGTCAGTTCATAGTTACCTTTGCGTCACCACGTAGAATCAATCTTCCTATCCCTCTGATTGGTTTCGGAACCAACACGCTGTCTCTCCCGTCCGTCCACTGCTTTCCATAATGCCATCCCATCTTAATTTTGTCGTCCAAGTATCGCCATAAATTGAAATGCATTGCCCCTTTCTTTAATAACCAGATAATAAGCAGAATTGGTAATAACTGTATTATCCATAGATGAAGCCATATTCGCACTAAGATGCAAGCCCAGATAAGAGCAAAAAAATATCGATCACTTAATTTGGATGTTCTCTTTCTTTTTCTAAATCTCAGACTATGAATTCGTTTTGGCGTTTCTCTAGGTGGGTCATGCAAGGAATCTGGCTCATCTGGTCTCTGTAATTCAATGTACTGTTCTTCCTGGTCCATTTCCATAGCTACTGATGCTTCTCTGCTCTCATCTTCATCTTGGCAGTCAGGGCCAGATGATGGAGAACTGTCATTACCGACACTAAATATAGAACCAACAGCAGCTGTAAGTGTCTTTGTTGAAAACTTCAAACTCGTGCCTGAAATCACAAAAACAGATAATCATGTAGAATCATTTGTTCGATTGATAAGACAAATTGACAATGTGGATATCTTATTAATATATTTAAAAACATTTCCATATAATACATCTAGCTGGAAACATTATTATATTTGCTCTCACTATTAAAAACACATCTCCAATGAACGATATGTGACTACAGTCAAAATTAAGTCACATTTCAATGATCCAGCTTACATTAAAAGCATTTATGGCTTCATGTTTGCATTTATTGATTCGAATGAAGCAAATATGGGAATATGATTTATCTACAAATGACATGTTGCTTTAGTAACACAGAGCTGTATTTGTTCAAAGAAATCTTGAAAATCCAAGCACATATGCACTTCAAATTACCAGTATAAAGAGTAAATATGAGATGCATGTACTTTACAAAACTTACAATTAAGAAATAATAAAATAAAACAAAAAAATTGTCACGACTGGGCCAGTCTAGCTCAGACTGTACTGTATACAATAAATGTAAAATACATGAAATTTGCATTACGACAACTGTAGAGTTTCATGTACTTACCCAATATGCTGTCTTGTTGAGTAGACTCCTTCATATCAGAAATCACGCCCATTACTAATAACGCTACCATAATGATAAATATAAACACTCGGTAATCACCGGCAATGGTTACCAAATGAAAGAGGAATGCTATCCATACTGGTAATGATAAAGGACGTAAAAACTTCGCAGATGCTGGATTCCACCAGAAAATGACAGCCAATAGATAGGCTATGACTAATGTCCAGACCTACAAAACAAAAAGTTGAGATGACTGTTACATTAAAGTGTTAATTCAACTCTTCTAAAATTGTTCTTCTGACCTGTGGATGGTTTTTACTAACATTCAACACACTAAATATATTTAATTTATTTGTACAGTTCAATCCATACATAATAACCATAAACACTGCTTACATGTAGTTGGTGATGCATTCATTTTCCTAACCCAGCAATGACAATCTAAGTTACTCTGGGAAAACACAAAAATTACAGTCTAACTTCTACATGTACATGTATTTTTGCCAATCATTTCTTTGAAAACAAAAATATAATAAAAAAAATTCCCAATGCTGAAGAAAGTTTATTTGCGAAAGCTTGACTGTAGTTGTCTATATTGCAATGTTAATGAGTGTATTACACATGTCAATATAACAGTAAAAACATGCTGGTACATGTAGTGCTATTCTATGCAAAGGTTGAAATAACAAATTTAAGTTGCCTTGACAGGTTGAAGAATAAAAGTGCCTATCTCAGTTTGATGATGTACCTGTTCTTAACAAGATCAATTAAGAGATTCATTCTTGGTTTCTCATCATTTTAGTCTTAAGGTAGAAGCCTACTAATAAATTAAAATACCCAGAATTTATTCATTTTGCAATAAATGTAAGACAATGCAAGGATATTGTCACTATTATAATAACACTTTTATCATTGGTTCCTATAGTAGAGATATTATGCAATATCTCAAAATCTACCCTGGTGACATAGGCTGAAAAAATCATATATTGTTAATGGTAGAGTACTTTTTGTTGTTCTGAATTATTTAAAAAATCGGGGTTTTAAAAAGAGTCTTTCTTTAACATTGTTCTATGGAATTGTTCTAAAATAGCAATTTTCAAGAAATATTAGAGCACGTTTCTCAAAAAGATTAACTGTAACTCACAAAATAATACTATTTCATTGTACCATGGAACAATAGCTTCATGATTGTACATACTATTAAACTAATGAACATTGTCATGTGATTTATGACAATTTTGTCAAAAATTATGACTAGTTTTATGGGATTTTTTATTATTTTTTTTTTAAATAATGTATTTTACATGTATTTCTGAGAGTATTTCGGAGTAGAGGTAGTGTCTAAGATGTGACACTGTCTTTCTTTGAGCATTATTTTGTTTTCTATTTTAACCCATTTCCAGGGATGTTATGTGTCAATAAAATTTGTTTTTATTATCACATTAAAGTTATGCTAATATTGCTGAAAACAAAAATGCAAGTTGTCAAAGGGCATGTATTCCAGTTTTCATGTCCACATTGCCTGAATGTAGGCATGAAAAAATAAAATGCGTTCATTTTTGTGC